TCATAAAGAGGGAGGTACCATACCATAATACTGCCAGTGAACTAAATCGCTGACCACATATGCAGAATAAAAAACTACTGCACATTGTGTTCAGTTCAGAACTATAACAGTCTCACTGAATTAAATACTCCGAATATCACACATAAATTCTTTTCTTCACAGTCAGATTTTCAACTGAGCACTCTTGCAACTAACTCGTGGGTGTTTCACAATAACCTCCTATACTTCTCTTCACCGCCCGATCATCAATTGAGCACTCTTGCAGCTAACTAGTTACCCCAAACTGTCCCGGTTATAACATTTTGGTATGGACCACACACAAAACACAATTACTCTGTTGCTGTACCATTGTTTCCTTCATGTCTGTTGTTGCAGGAAAGGGTTTAACAAATCGTTGACTAGAAACGGTTCTCGTAAGTTACTTATCTTGCGGTGATTGCATAGTAATGGCTCTACATGATAAAATATATTCCAAACATATATCATTTCAAGATCCTATATCAAGTGAGTTTACAGTCATGCTTATCTCACAAGTTTGTGTGCCAGCCACGCCTTTAATACTGATTGCAGGAAATAAAGAAGGATGGTGCTGGGGTGGCTTCCACATGTATGATATCCAAACCAAATTTCGTGAAAATTGGTCAGTTGGTTCAAAAGCTGAAATGGAATACACAAACAGCTTTATCTTGTAAGAATTTCAGTTCTTTCAAGAAAGAAAGTATAGCAATTTTCCTCTTTCAGGTGACAAGTGTATTCTGCTGCTTACTGATTATTTGCCTAGCATATGAAGATTTATTTTGGCCAAGACACACTTGTTGCAAGGGACTTGCATATGTTCCTTATAAGCTCAATTCTTATATGTAGGCAGGCAGAAGCAGTCATATAAATACAGTAGAACCTCACACTTTAAACACAATCTGTTCCAGGAGATGGTTCAACTTTCGAGTTAAATTTCCCCATTTTAAATAATGTAAATTGAAATAATCCCTTCCAGACCCCCAAAATTTACTCATTATAAAACATTTTAAGTGTCTATTTCAAGAGATCATATTGGTAAATAACGATAAAACAAGTATACACATATTTTATTTCAATAATTGAATGTTTTTATTTATAATAGCACATACATAAAAATATTGTATAATAATCGATCAATAATGACAGTAGGTGGGATACTACTGTGCACTAGAAGGTGAATTACCCTTCTTTCATCTGGAATCCACTATCTGAGAGTTGTGGTTCATTAATATTACCACCATTTGATTTTTCTTTCGAGAGAAACCTGTCTAATGTCATTTGTTTTTGTCTATTTTTAAAATTTTTCTGAAATGTTGCATTACATTGTCATTAAACAGGTTGATATTCCTGGAGTGCCACTTCTCTACAAGACTCTGTGTTTTAGACCAATACCCCAACGGTTCCTTAATGTCTGCAGTGGGGATGCTTTCCTTACTGTCTACCTTCTCCTGTGAAGACAATTCCTCAGCCACTTCTTGCTGCTGCTCCATACGAAGATCCTGCAGCTCCTCAGTGGTCAACTCAGCATCGTGGTCTTCCATCAACTCATCATCCTCACTGTCCACCTCCAGGCCCACAATTTCCTCCACCACCGCAACATTCTGTTCAGGCTCCTCCAATTCTCTGGCTGATACAGAGGCTGGCCAGAGATTCATCCAAGATCACATCATCCTGTCAGAAACCTGGTCCTAGGCTTTGTCTATAATCCCCAGGCAGTGGAGTATATTGAAATGATCTTTCCAAAAGTCCCTGAGGGTTAGCTGTGACTCCAAAGTCACTTCAAAGCACGTTTGGAAAATGCCTTTGTATAGAGCTTCTTAAAATTAGAGATGACTTGTTGGTCCAGGGGCTGGATGACAGGAGTGGTGTTGGTCACAAGAATTTCATCCAGACAAAGCCAAATTCAGCACTAAAGGCTTCTTCCAATCCTGGAGGGCGTGCAGGTGCACTGTCCAATACCAGCAGGGCCTCGAGAGGTAAATTTTTCTCATTCAGATATTTCTTCACATTGTGGGCTAAAACTTCATCAAACCACTCAGTGAAAAACTACCCAGTTACTCAGGATTTAGGATTTCACCTGCACGTTACACTAAGCCTCTTTTGTCCACAGCGTTTTCCTTAAAACCCCTGAGGATTTCTGAGTGGTACACTAGCAGTAGTTTTATCTTGAAGTCTCCACTAGCAATGCCATACAGGAGGGTTAACCTGTCTTTCATAGGTTTGTGTCCTGGCAAAGGATTCTCTTCCCTTGTGATGTAGGTCCTCGTTGGCATTTTCTTCAAGAGGCCTGTCTCGTCACAGTTGAATACACGTTTGGGAAGGAAACCCTCCTTATCCACAAAGTTTTAAACGCCCTCACAAATTTTTAGCAGCATCTTTATTTGCACAGCAGCCTTCCCATGCCTAACCACACTATGAAGTTTCTCTTTTAAAATTGTCACTATACAGATGTCTAGCTTTCTCACATATAATGGCTTCAGACACACTATCACCAGCCACGTTTTTCATTGATCCAAACCATTAAAAGCTTTTCCACTTCTTCCACTGCTGCGATCTTTTACTGGTAAGGGTTTCTACCCCTTTTGCCACATTAGCGGCTTTAGTGGCTTCCTTGTTCTTCAGTATGGTCAGTATAGCCATGCCATACTGAGCAGCCAGGTCTGATAAACATGTACCATTTTCCCACTTAGTGATAAGTTCCTTTTTCATTCCTACTGTAGAAATTATGATTTTTATTTTAAGCTTTTCACCTCTAGTAACTTTTTTGGTGTCATTATGAATGGGTATTATTAAAGATAATATAAAAATAACCCAAAGAAAAAATAAAACGTTTAAAAACAGACTGAATTTTTGAGATGTTCAGAGAACCAGTCATGGGAGAACTGACGGGGCAACTGCACATGCAACCAAGCAGAGAGAGAAGACAACCATGTGAGTCTTTGTTCAACTTTCGAGTTTTTAACTTCCAAAACTGGATTCCCTTCCAATGTTTTGTTTCAGTTTCAAGTTGTTCAAACATCAAACCATTCAAAGTTTGTGGATCCACTGCATATGGTAGTCACAACTGCTTCGTTAGAAAGAAAAGGAAACAGGAAGCACGAGGAAAGAAATCTGATCAAACAAGTTATATCGCTTGTAAACTGACATTTTTGTTGGTAGTCCTTCCAAACACCACTCAAAACCTCCTCTGCAATGTAACCACAGACCCAGACTTGTGAACTACAGCACACACTCTTTCTACTTGAGATGTAACTTTTACAGCTTTGAGTATAATGCTTCATGTTTTACAAAGTGGAAACCCCATGTAACATTCAGAATTACTGGGATTTTGAACTCAGTCCATTGTCCGATATTCTAAAAACTACAGAAAGCAGAACGCTCCACAGATGGCAGCAGCAGTAGCCTCAAAATGGTTTAACAAATTCTCCATTTAATCCTATGCATTGCTTTTCATGGACTTGGTTTTTTATAAAAAAATGTTCACCTCTGTTTCTATCTTGGTTTCATGTTCACACATGCTTTATCACAATTTTTATTGCAAATTTTCCTGTTATCTCCCTTTGACAGAGCCTAGTCGCAGGTATTTACTAGGTATATAGCAGTAGTTATACTGATCAGGTCTTTTGCATTCATCAAATACTGTTATACCTGTTATAGTTGATTATGTGTGAAAGAAAAATATAATAATTTCTAAATCTCTTATGGAAGTATCAGACTGAATCATCATATGTTGCACAAAATTTAATGTTTAACTGATAATGAGTTTAAAGAGCTTCAAATGGGGGATATGGGGATTTATGTGTACAATAAATATTCAAGGCACTGCATGTATTCATTTTATTTTAAACATATCAATTTTTCCCCTTAAAATACTTTGGCTTACAATCCTTGCATGTTTCCATAAAAAGAAAAATTAATTGATATTTTATAATTAATTTTGGGATCATCTGGTATATGCAGTATTATCTGTAGCCTTCACTAAAAACAGGTGAAATTCAATGAAGTCATTAACAGCTGTTTTTGCAAATACCACCATTTTGTGCTTTATCCTCCATGTAGAGAATACTCAGGTTTTAAGTTTATACATGATTTACTTAGAAAGTAAACATAAATTCTAATTACAAAGAGCATCCATGAGACTAGTGAGGCACTTAGATGAATGCAAAGCACTAGAAAAACACTTTTTCAGAATCACAGGCAATCAAAATGTTATTTCATACTTTGTGAGAAAGTAAACACACACATAACACTTGTAACAAAATCACTCTTCCAACACAATTTTCTGAAGATCAGTGGTTTAAAATAGCTGACACAGAGAGAAAATAATTGTTTTTTAATTCCATAATTCTACTAGAGTTGACTTTATTCTATGACATGTCAGGATCATTACGCACAAACACAGAAACATTTCTGAACTTTTCCAAATTAAGTGTCATAACAACAATAAAAAAATATCACAAGATAACCACTACAGTGATTTCTACATACACACACTCATGATTATCATTTCTGAGGCCCAAATGTAAAACACAAGAATGATAAAAATTGTCAACAAAGAATGGACTGCCTCTTATTTATAAATATTTACACTTTTCCTGCACAGAATGCTGATAAAAATGTCAGTATGAATATCCATGAACCCAAATTCAAGTGCTGAATCTTAATAGTATGCAGCCTGTTGTGTGTCACAAACAAGGTTCATAAAATGTATAGAAAGGTATGCAGTCTATACAAAAATATTCTGCATTTAAAACAAAGTAGACAGTACCTTATCAACATTTGTTTTTATTGATGCTACATGTTTCGACCCTTATACTGGGTCATCATCATGCATACAATGATACCAGACTCAGTTGTTGCAATTGCATCTAATTCTTCAATAAGGATCCTTACTGTGCACTGAGTGTTTTTAAATGCATAAATTGAGTCTTTCAGTTAAAATTTTAAATACTCAGATAATAAAATTTAAAAATTAAAGACTAGAGATTAAAACATAGAAATTAAAACTGTACTAAAATGGAAATGAAATATTTTGCAATAAATCTCTTTAAAACTTTATGACCGCTATGTGCTGATGCAATTTTCTGGTGGTAGAAGTGACTGCGGTGTGGGGTGCCTGTGTATCAGGATCTTCTCACATAAGTCAGGTCATGTGGTCTTGACCTCGCTATCCTCTTGTGGAGCTTATGCTCGTTATTCTGTATGTCACCCAACAGGTTGTTTATTTGGAGCGGTTCACTACAACATAGCAGCATCATCAACACAGGGAGCAGCCCGTACACATTATCATCCTAAGAAAATCTAATATACATCACTCCAAACAAACTGAAGAAGACTTCATCAAAGCTAGCCTCAGATCTTGCAAGTCACTATTATCAAAAGATATCATGTATGCAGTTTCAATGATCTCCCAAAACAAAATTTACCACTGCCATTATCATGAAACCAGCAAAGAAAAACATTATTTTCACTAGTCGACTCTTTTCTCCGGATAATTCTTCTGGAATAATTTCCATAAAAGTAACATGAATAAATATTCCTGCAGCAATGCCCTGAAGAAATGCAGAAACAAATGCTCCTAGCAAGCCTGGAGCTGTTCTAATCAGGAGCCCCAGCAATATGCCCACTGGTATACTGCCTGTGACAATCAAGATATACTTCAAACTATTCAACAGACTCAGGTTCAGTTTTGCTATATTAGCTCCTAAAGCAAGAGCAACTAACATTTCATGAAACAATACAGCTAAAAACAGGTGGAATACCTTGACTGGATTTGTTTGAAGCCCTAGTGTCACACCCTCAAATAGAGAATGAATACTCACAGCCAGTAACAATATTAAATGTCGAAGTCCTGTAGCTTTGCTAAGAGCAAATGACATATCACAATGGGCATAGTGAGTCATTCCTGCAGATTGCAAGCCTTGTGTTCCACTTGGCCCACAGTGAAAGTTAGGTACTGGTAGTGATGGTTCTGACACTGATATTTCACCTTCACATAGATCTTGGTCTTGGCCATCCAACTCTAGAAGTCTCACATAGGATTCATCCTCGCACATCTGCCGTGAATCTCTACTGATTCCAGCATGAGACATTCGAACTGTCTCTTCACTTGGAAGTGCTTCCATTTCTATCTTGCTACGTGTGGTAATAATTAAATGCTCCACGGCAAATATAAAAAAGAATCCAATTATAATTACAAATTCTGAAAGAGGGAATGAAGTTGTGATCTTTGCATTACTGAGCACTTCTGTGAACTTCTCATGAACATATGGAAAGAGTCCTAGGAAACACATTCCTAGAAACACACCACCTGCTATACAATTGCCAAATGAGATCCATGTACTCATTCGTTCACTGATGTGAGCATTATTTTTCTTCCACACCAGAAGAACTGGTATCATACTACAGACTGTCATAGCTGTGAACAGAACAGCAAGACAAATAACTTGAAGAAATATCACTTCCATCTTGTTGGCCTCCAGCCGTTTTCTTAGATATGAATAACCTATAAGTAGAAAGGGAAGTATGCATAAATGACAATGGACCTCATTATAACACAACCTTTATATGCTTGTGAACACTCAGAAGTGCTACTTACTAATATTACAGGCATAACAGTCTGCTCTATGATGAACAGTTGTTATTTCTTCAAATGGTTATTGTCGGTATTTTGAAGTCAATTACTGCCATAACCTATATCCTTCCGATAACAAGTCATGTTAATTCTCACACATGGACCCATCATTCGAATCTGCTCTTTTGGAGAAACCCAGTAAACAGTAACTTCAGTAATCATCACACTCTCGTATTGTCTGCGCTTTTTGTTGTAGAAACTCACAGATATCACTACAAACAGAAATCAATATTCGAGCAGTGGAGGTTTATATTCAAAAATACACAGAAATGTACCGGCATATGAAACTGCACGACTTCAATATTCAATATTCGAGCAGTGGAAGTATTTATTATATTCAATAATACACAAAAATGTGCCAAAATATGAAAGTGCACGACTTCAGTATTGAACATTTATCCATTGTTACGGGCTGTAACAATTTACGTTGAGAGTCCAGCATTGTGCTCGGTAAATAGAAAGACTGGTGAAATAAATACACTCCAATATACTCTTCACTTCTTCCAACTATCCGCAAGGGCCGCCCTCTCACGGTGGTGGGGATGAATATTTAGAAAAGGAACAGGTGCAAAGGGTGCAAAGTTCGTAATTTGAATCAATGGCTGTTCTCTCTGACATGTTAGTTTCCAGTCGGCAGTAGTTATATACGTAAAATTTGTAACAAAACAAAAAAAAAGAGTAATTTTTCCTTTCCGGTCTGATATTTTAAGTGAAGTTCCGCATCAAAAGCCTCATAAACCTCTCCCATGATAATGTAAGATCAAGAATTTTTTTTTGTACGGTGTTACGTATTCCAAGTTTGTTTAAAGCTGATCCACACTAGTCTTACGTTAATGTGAAGCAAAAAGAAAACAATTCGATTCTTATTCCCGTACCCATCTTACTCGTTCAGTTTTATTCTGTAATCTGTGTGAATCAATATTATATTGTAGTACTGAACTTCGAAGACAGAATAGTTGTTCCATACACGCTGTGACGGCTCCTAACTGATCGAACGGTTGACGATGGGACTAAATAGTATTTAACCCTTCCCCCATGGCAATATTTAAGTAAAGGAGGGGAATGTGTTCTCATTTAAATGTTTGATGATAACAGTTAACGCTTTATAATACACAGTACTGTTTTTAATAACTTCATGTTCAGGGCCTGGTGACATTTTGAACAAAGGATCGCCCCCCCCCCCCGGCTTATAGCTGAACACCATGCCCCTTCATAGACATACAATGACCCTTGGTACAATTTGAAGTTCTGGCAGCAGTGGTTACAAAATGTTATAACTTTTGGCATGTAACATCATGCAGTCTGGTAATAGCCAATTTATGTTTCAGAGGACCATGTCACCTCCATCTTCATGGATAAGAATATGCAAAGAGAGAAACCAGCATGAAGCAGGTAGCAAGCAAAACAAGTGGCCTGTAGGAAACATGGGATTATTCACAAACAGAAGGGAGGCCAATGCATCATATCTCATTGGCTCTCCCTGAGAACAAGGGCGAATCAATGTGAGAGGAGAGAAGAGTAACTAGGCTGCGTCCCTAAAAGGGGCCAGTTGTGCAGATATAAGAATATGGGGGAGAAGCCATGTGCAAAGGTTGTCATGACTGGTGTGGAAAAAAGGTTGCTTCTGGTCCTGAGTCATTGAGCTTACAGTCCCTCCTGCTGACAAAGGCAATGCAACTGTGGTACTTAGTACAGCCAACTATAAGAGGAAAATTGCTGTCCTTCTGGAGGACCAAGCACACAGAAATTGGAAGGACTGTACTGAGTCTGTGTAGTGCATGACCAATCTCCTGAAGAGATCCTCATTTTTGATGGGTCCATGAACTTTGACTGCAAGGTTTGGGCACTAGTGTAGTCACATCACAGAATAAGGAAATATAACTCCTTCTATAGTGCACATATTAAATAATTTTCTGATACCAAAGGCTGAACCCAAAATGACTAATGTTACAGCAAAGTAGATACTGGTGACAGTCCAAGCCCCCATCACCCTCAAAATTCCTTTATTGGCTCATCTCTGGTGAATACAGCCCACCAGTCCCATTCACTGTTGCCTTCTGCTCAGTCTTTTTTAACATGTCTTTGTGCATAGACATTTGAAAAATGTCTGTGTACTCTTCCCAAGTTTCTAACATTACTGTCAGACCATCATTCTTTTCGCTTCTTCAACCCCTGCAGTAGTTGTTCCAACACAAGAAAAGGATGAAAGCTTAGTTCATATTTGTCCATACTTACAGAAACATGTGATTACTAGGGCCCGGATCTTTATGCGCTAAAAACACTTAAAATATGTACTAAAAAGTGGGAAAATATGCACCAAAAATAAAACAGGTCACTTTATTCAGACTCATCTATTTACATGTATCATTCACTGCAGAAAGTAGCATCACAATAGGCAACTAGAAGTCTTTCAGTGTTTTCTGGAGATAAACTGTGTCTATTGTCCGTCAAAATGAGTTTATAGGCTGAGAATGATCTTTCTACATCAACTGACATGATTGGACAGTATTTATACACTGGTGCCGAAGGTTTGGAACATACATCTGGCAAAGATACCCTAATTCCACTCAAGTACTAACTAATTGACTGAATCTTTTTTAGTCCTCAGTTCGATTTCAACACCTTTTCTAACTTGAATTTAATCTTCTCTCCAATTTCACCTGGAGCGGAATTCAGTGAACATGTTGCTTTCTGAACGAGTTGAAGTGAGTCATGAAGGAGTGCACCACAAGATTCTAAGCTCTCAATGGCTTTTGAAACTGTAGAAAAATGTGCATGGATAAATTTCACATCTTGATAAACAGTATCACTTCCAAACACCACATTTGCTTCACAGACACATGCATACTCATCTTAAAGTTTTGTAACCACTTCTTTTACTTGATTGAAGTTCTCCTGATAAAATTAAACTGCGGATATCCATGTCCCCCAACTAGTTAGGACAGGTTCTGGTGGCAGAGGAACCTGAGGTAGGCAATCTTTGTAGAACTGGACATGATCTGGTGCTTTCAGAAACAGTTTTTCCCACTTGCAATTAAATTGTTAACAGCTGGAAACTGTGCGCGTATTTTTTCTGCAATACAGTGTAATCCGTGCGCTAAACAGGTTATATGTATAAGATTTGGATAAAATACTTGTAAGGCCTTTGCTGCTTTCAATATATAGGAAGCTGCATCTGTGAGTAATACAAGCACCTTACAACAATTATTCTCAATTTGAGATGGCCATAGTAGTCGCAGAGAATCATTTACAAATCTTGCTATTGTGCAATGGTTGATTTTCTCTAGTACTTTGCAAGCAAGAACATGAGGGTTGCTGGGTTCATCTGGATGTAGCTTAACAACTATGAAATTTGCTATGTATCGGCCACATAAATCAGTTGTCTCATCCACCAATATCCAGACACAGTTCCCTCCAATGTCAGAACGGATTGACTCCAGAGTAGATTCATACAGCAAAGGTAGATACTTGAAAAGAGTTGATTCATCTGGGATTTTTTGAATTACACAATATTTCTCCAGAAATGATCGCAGAACTGGATTGCTTAATTTATTCCATGGAATGTTGCTGCATACTAAAGCCTTACAAAGATCGGCTGAAAATGTGTTAACAGAGGATTTGGGCTTGACCTGTGTAAGAAGTAGTTGTTGTGGTGTGCTGTTCTTCTTCCCCTTCTTTGCCCTAATACATGCAGTCGTTCTTGAGTGTTGTTCAAGTTGAAATTTCTTTTCACATTTTACTTCCTTTGTGCACACTTGACAGTACACGACGACACCGTCTGTTGAATAGTCACTATTACCCGACACCCACCGAATTTTTAAATATCTACTGCTGCACTTTTCTTTAGGAATTTTCAGTACACGAACACTTTTTTGATGCAGACTATTAAAGTAAAGAGTATCACATTAACTGAAGAGACTTCTCTTGAGACCAACCCTCTGATGCTACTGTCTGCTGTGGTGGTGAAAGCAATGCAGGAAAATCCCACCCCCTCCCTTTCAAATTAGCCAAGCTACCTGCTTGTACTGTAAGTGGTAAAAGTGCTGTTACTTAGAGAGCTGAGAATAGCAACTGGCAAGGGATGTCCAAAACAGGCAAAACCGATTTTGTTAGAGAATATTGAAATTATCCTTAATTCCAAACATATATGCAGAAATATGCTCTTACATTTAGAATATGCAATAACTACCAAAAACCTTCAAAATATGCATTTGCATTTTCAAAAAATCTGGGCCCTAGTGATTACATAGAACAAATGAAAAAATCATGCATGTTTAAGATGCAAACAGGATAATCCAATGCCAATGATCAGGAGATGATTGTACACTTCATAGGACAGAATGCTTATGGAGAGCATGGAAACTAATTATAATGAAAATATCTGCATAGAAGAATTTTATTTTTAACTATATAATTTTAGTGTTTCTCTTCTTGTAAGTAAAAAAGTTAAAAAGTATTTCATAAAGTGATGCAATAAAAGCATTATGCTTGTAATACTCTTCATATTAAGCAGGTAAACTACTTCTAAACATATAACATTCCTTATAAGTTAATGTGAAATATAAACATTCCTCTCTTTACAAATACTGTACCATATATTGACTGTCGGTACTAATCTCTGCAATCTCAACAAATATTATAATATTAAATTCAAAAGAAAAACTGTGTCACACATATTTTAACATACTTATTTAACAAAATATATCATTTTTAAAAGCTAACTAAACTTATTGTTATTTGGTTCATTTCAGAACAGTAGCTTCACTCATAGCTGCAATCCACCTGTAACAAAAGAAGTTTTTATTGTATTTCATTGTGAAGACATTACATAAACAGGCTCTCACAGTGGTGTTTACAAAGAATTCTGTCTTGTGGGATATAACACTGTGTACTCAACTGAAACTCAACCAGTGTTTCTGAGGAAAATGCCATCTCCATCTCCAGGGCAAAAGAATTTTCCAGAAAAGAAATCAGCATGAAGCAGACAGCAAATTATTAGTATATCCCAGAAGATAAAACTCTTTATTAAACAGATGTCCATATTCCTTTCCACACACTGCAGACATTTATGGATTTGGTGAATCTATCATTTTATAACAATCAATACCTGAAATAAGATGAAAAAGGAAATTGAATGACTGCAAAATTTTTAAATTAAAAACAATGAAGGGATTGGATGAGTGCGACCTTGTCACAACAGTGTTGCAGGTCCTCATGTTGTTGATGGAGGATACAGCTTCCGGATATGGAAGGTAGCTGGGAATGTCCCCTTATTAAAGCAGCAGCCCTGGTCAGCCAACAAGGGGTGATCCTCCAGGCTGGAGACTGAACATGAACCCACCATGTCTTATTAAAGAATTAGGATGTTACAAAATGTTACACAGGGACACAGATGTGGATGGATTCTCTGTAATGACATAAGCAATGGAAAACAGGCATCTGAAATGTGAAAAATCTCTATAGGATATAAAGATGGCAGGATAATGCAGTGTAACCGTACGTCCCTAGTCAAAATTATATTAAGGGTATGAACTACTTATGCATTGTTTAATACCGTGAGAGACGCTCCATCGGCGAGATACCATCCCGGGACCGTCTAGTTGTAATTCCACTATTGTCCTCCTTAGGCTAAGGGTGCCGCTATTGTCCCTAACGTCGCCTGTTTACTCCCAGTATATCGTAAACCCATGAACTGACCGTGTGCGAGACCGGCCAGGAGGGGTCTTGGATTCCTTGAAGACCTACAGAGGTTTATGGGCATCTCGAAAAATACTAATGTTGGGCAGATGTCGGGCTCGACCCTTGGATTTCTCGTTATTTTTCTTGTTTTTCTGATGCCAACTGGGGGACTTGTAAAGATGGGGGTCGGTTATAGGGAGCGGAGGAGGACAGTAGTTGGAATGTAGAGAGAGAAGAGAGAAGTGTTTAAGAGTAGTGGTAGCTAGTCAGCGGACGGAGCGGCTAGCTAGGAGAATAATGTACATATTCATCATTAATGAAATTTTAAATTAAAACTGCAATCCACGGTGTGTTCTGGAGATCCCGGATTTATTTACCCCGCAGGGTGTTCCACTCCCATCTCCAAAGCACCCGTATCCTGTGATTAAGAACTCAAGCTCGAGCGATAGTCGTGGCAGCTGTATGTCGGTGGATGGCTACAGTAGAATTGGCGCTTCCAACCTGGGGCACGTAACAGCGGAGGAGACCGGGAGTCTGCAAACGGGACGTCACGGAAACATCGAGGGAGAGGAGCAACTTCGTGGACGGAAAAAGTGAACAAAGATATCGTGCAAGGTTAGATGGACTAAGTTATATTAACAATAAGTGTGAACGAGTTGTGGACAGTGAAACATGGAAACGCGTAGTAAACTTAAAAGTGTAAAGACAATCATAGATAACGGAGAAGAAATCGAAGTGACGGAAGGTATCAATGACATAGAGAATGGGGGAGAAATAGAGGGAGAAGGAAACGTGATGAATGGGCAAATAGTAGAGACAGAACCCGAGGTACAGGCTAAAAACCAACAGATGAAAAGTGTAGAAAGAAGGGAAAAGGATAGTACAATAGATATGCAGGCCTTATTAACCTATATGGAAAAATTTGAAGAGAGAATGATGAAAATGGAAGGGAAATTTGAGGAGAGAATGATGAAAATGGAAGGGAAATTTGAGGAGAGAATGATGAAAATGGAAGGGAAATTTGAGGAGAGAATGATGAAAATGGAAGGGAAATTTGAGGAGAGAATGATGAAAACGGAAAACAATATAAAAGAGGATGTGCGTGAAATGCTGGCTGCATTGGCAAGGGACTCGGAACGTAAAATGAACAACAAAATACAGTCCGTGAATAAGGAAGTTGAAGCCGTATCTGAGCGCACCCATGGCCAGATTCAAGCGCTGACCGAAGTGGTGAGACAGAATACATCTGAGAGCAACAGTAACATCGAGTCTCTGCGCAATGACGTGACAGCAGTTCAAGCACAAATAGAACTACAGTCGCATGATATGTGTGAGAGGATGTCCACGTTCGAGACCAGAGTGACAGATTTGAGGGTCATGACGGAACAGCAGCAGATTAAAGTAAGTTCGGAAATTGAGAAGGTTAATTATAGAGTAACCAACGTGTGTGACGAATTAAGGGGCCAGCTTGAACTCTTAAAGAACTCGAATCAGGAGTGTAGTAAAGGTAAAGATGCTAACACTAGTGACGTCATGCCTGACAGCTGTCGAACAGATATCTCGAGTGGACATGCCTCGGCGACTGCTTGTATAAATACCAGTAATGTCAACGGCCACTCAGACAGTGGGCCGCAAGTTAGGTATGTAACTGGAGTAGGTCTAGGAGGAGGCCAGCCAAGTTACTCCCTCAGTAAGGAAATGACAGGCAACGATAACAACTGGGGATTTGTCAAAGGGACTCTGAACAACTCCCTTCATCTAGCTTTGCCAATTTTCACAGGACGACCGGAGCAGAATGCCAAAGCCCATTTAAATGCCTTGGATGTCGGTGGATAGCAGGGTGCTCAAATATGTATCATGGTTGCAGTACTCTCCTGAGTACAATCTTATATTGTGTATTGATTCATGTACGTACGTAGTAGTAGTAGTAGTAGTAGTAATAGTAGTATGTAGTAACTAGCTTAGGTGAAGAAAAACATAACATGTGGTCACTTTGTGCAAGGATGACAGTTTATTGTAAACAATTAATGTAATCCTCGGTCCATACGGGAGAATGGCATTAAGCCTCAGTAGCGTCTTTCATCGGTTCGACTCAGACACACCTCGGCTTAATGGGGGGAGTATTGTAGCCGTACGTCCCTAGTCAAAATTATATTAAGGATATGAACTACTTATGCATTGTTTAATACCATGAGAGACGCTCCATCGGCAAGATACCATCCCGGGACCGTCTAGTTGTAATTCCGCTATTGTCCTCCTTAGGCTAAGGGTGCCGCTATTGTCCCTAACATCGCCTGTTTACTCCCAGTATATCATAAACCCATGAACTGACCGTGTGCGAGACCAGCCAGGAGGGGTCTTGGATTCCTTGAAGACCTACAGAGGTTTATGGGCATCTTGAAAAATACGAATGTTGGGCAGATGTCGGGCTCGACCCTTGGATTTCTCTTGTTATTTTTCTTGTTTTTCTGATGCCAACTGGGGGACTTGTAAAGATGGGGGTCGGTTATAGGGAGCGGAGGAGGACAGTAGTTGGAATGTAGAGAGAGAAGAGAGAAGTGTTTAAGAGTAGTGGTAGCTAGTCGGCGGACGGAGCGGCTAGCTAGGAGAATAATGTACATATTCATCATTAATGAAATTTTAAATTAAAACTGCAATCCACGGTGTGTTCTGGAGATCCCGGATTTATTTACCCCGAAGTGTGTTCCACTCCCATCTCCAAAGCACCCGTATCCTGTGATTAAGAACTCAAGCTCGAGCGATAGTCGTGGCAGCTGTACGTCGGTGGACGGCTACAGGAGGAAGAGAGGGTGTGAACTGGATTCGTCTTGCTCAGGATAGGGACAGTGGCAGCCTCTTGTTAAGAAAATGAATCTTTGGATTCCAGAAAATTCTGGGAATTCCTTGAATAGCTGGGCAACTACAAGCTTCTCAAGAAGGACTTAGCTCCATGGAAGTCTATCTCATATCTGGACTATTTAATGTGTGTCATCTTTAACTTTACAATTTATTTAAAATGTATGAGTAAATTAAAGCATGTTAAATGCAACCACTGCATTCCATGAAGCTCTCAACTTACTTTGACACTTGTTCAATAATGTACATTAAACAGTTTATTTTATGCTAAATTTAAATTCTGCTATTGTATTCTGAGCTAGAAATTTTCATGGAAAGCGACTAAAAATACATTTAGGGCTCATATAAACCTTTGTTTAAAAAACCAATATGCCAGGCTATGGATCTCTAGAACAAAATATGCAAGTTATGTATTTTTCTCTCCCACTGGAAATACTGTTTAATTTTGTCCCTTCATAATACCTATACAAAATTAATCTGAAGATATCAAAATAAACGTTTAAAAAATATTGAAACTTGTAAGATTTTGAAGTTTTCATAGCAAATAAATGTACTCAAATCTTCTAGGGTGGTATCAGTACATAAAAATTGTGTTTAGATATACTACATTGTCTAATAAGTGATCTGATTTAACTTTCATTTTGGACTGTTGTATTGGTACCCCACAAACCAAAATGACAGAAACACACACAATTAAACATATACTGTAACAAAACCATTACACAGTAGATGAGTCCTTGGGGCACAAATTACCTGCCCCCCCCCCCACAAAAAAAAACCACAAAACAGAAGGAAACAATTGGAGCCAGAACAAACGTGCAGTAAAGTTCATATAGATAAACATTTGTGTGATAAATTTCCTATCCAGAATGGTCTAAATTGAGATCCTTTATTGCCACTACTTTTCAACTCTGCTTTAGAATATGCCATTAGGAAGATCCAAGAAAATCAGGCAGGACTGAAATTAAATGGGACACATCAGCTGCTGGTCCATGCTGGGAGATAATAGATACCATAAAGAAAAACACAGAAATTTTAACTGATGCTAGTAAGAAGGTTGATCTAGAAGTAAATGCAGAGAAAACTAAGTATATGTTGCTGTCTCATCACCAGAATGGGGGGCAAAATTATGACATGAAGACAGTTATCAGATCCTTTGAAAGTGTGGCACAGTTCAAATATTTGGGAATAACAGTAACAAATCAAAATTTGATTCAGGAGGAAATTAAGAGGAGTCTGAATTTGGGTAATGCTTACTGTCATTCAATCCCAGAACCTTTTCTCTCCTCATCTGCTGTCTAAAAATATAAAAATTAGAATATACAAAATAATTTTGCCTCTGATGTGAAACTTGGTCTCTGACATTAAGGGAGGTACATATACTGGACAGTGTTTGAGAACAGGGTGCTGAGGAGAATATTTGGACCAATGAGAGATCAAGTGACAGGAGGTTTGCGAAAACTGCATAATGAGGAACTTCATAACTTGTACTCCTTGCCTAGTACAATTAGAACGATCAAGTCAAGGATGAGATGGGCAGGCAGGGCAGGGCAGGGCAGGGCATGTAGCATTAATGGGGCAAAGAGGAATGCATATAGGATATTGGTGGGAAAGCCTGAAGGATCTGAAGGAAGACCAAGACATAGATGGGATGACAATATTCAAATGGAATTTAGAGAGATAGGATGGGTTGGTGTGGACTGGATTGATCTGGCTGAGGGTAGGGACCAGTGGAGGGCTCTTGTGAACATGGTAATTAACCTTCAGGTTCCATAAAATGCGGGGAAGATCTTGAGTATCAGGATCACCAAAACACAGCCACAGGGGAAACAACTAGACATCAGTTTTAATTTAAATAACTGTAAATAATTTTTATATAATAGCTTTTAAATATGTACTATGAGCTTTGTAATGGCAGTTCCTAAACATGTTGACTTATTCCTACTGAAGATAGTCACATCTGACTGAAACAGGTAAAGGCAATAAATATCTACAAATTGAATCACTCTGGACAGTGTTATCAATTATTCTATAATAGCATGAGGAAGTTGGAACATGTAGCATGCAAGGGAGAAGAGACAGGAAATGCATATAAAAATTAGTTGCAAACTTCAATGGAAGAGATCCCTTCAGAAACCTAGGCCTAGATAGAGTATAAAAAATGGGGTGTTATCATGTGGATTAGATTCATCTGGTTCAGAACATGGTCCAGATGATAGGCTTTTGTGAGCAATGTAATGAAACTTTGGACATCATGTGTGTTGAAGGATTTCGTGGCAAGATGGACAACTGCTATGCTCCATGGAGGAAAACACTTCATATGTTTCACAGACATATGATGCAACAAACAGGTTGATAAAAGAAGAAGGGGAGAAATGTTTATGTAATTCTCTGTGATCAGTATGCAAACAAAACTCTAACCAAAGGTGGCAGAAATTTATGAATATGCTTAGAAAACTATACAGTAAAACACAGTTCATATAATAAGGCATAAGAGTTCAAATCAAGCCCATCTGAGTGTAATAAAGCATGATCACCTGCACACAGATCACCAGAGTGAACAGAACAGATGTTCTCAGTATTGTTACCAACAAATATACGTACCTGTTGGCCAAGTGTTCACTGTCTGCATGAAAAATAAGTGGACGCTGCCCTGGATGTGCCAGTTTGAACACAAATTTTGCATCAATTCCTTCATACAGTTGAAAGTGCCTCTGAAACATAATGTTAGATAAACTAGGATTCTCCACTAATTCCCTCCTTAGTTGTAAGTTATGTACTACTTGGACTTTTCAGGCCAAACTGAGGTTCTCAGAAAATCCGTAAGCACCAAAACCGTGAGTCAGATAGATGTTCAAAGTGAAAGATAACATTTGTTTAATAGGAATATTGTAGGTAACTTTCCTAAGTATGGTAATTAAGTCCCACTAAGATCAATAACTGCTGTAGACGGAACTGCAATCAGTGATGTCCTTCCAGTTGGGATGTTGTCCAGGCTCTACTTCCAACATGATCATCCCATGTTGTCATTTGCCTGCTCTCCCCACAAGGCAGCATGTTTCCACTTGTCTACTGCAGCAGCAATAACTCATACCTTCCAGCCACCTGACTGCCATTCCATTTTCTGCCACTGAGTGCAGGCATCAGAGAGGGGTATTCTCCATTGGTGTGTCCCTACACCTGGTAATGTTCAGCCATCCTGACAGGTGTCTCTTGTTGATGCTGACCCAAGGTCCTAGCCATCTTGGGTGGGTAACCCTTGAATTTGTTCTCACTAGGCTGCTTCCTACCTCCATGGGGCCTTCCAGCCACAGCCTCACACTGTCAGTGAAACAATGTCAAAAACATGCACCTGTCAAGCTTTGGCAGCTTAACCATAAAGGTACTGGTCCCTTTGGTCCCAATGTCTCCATGTGTAGTCCAGCCTTCTACTACTACCAGCTGTGCCTTGAACTCTCTATGTGTGGCTTCTAGGTTTCTTTGATTAGCCAAGATGTCATGTCAAGCTGTGTCACTTGCAGCCTGCTACTGACTTTGAAAAGACTTTTGGCCTGCTGCCAAACCACTGCCACAGTGTCCTTCGCCTGTCTGTCTAGTATTGTTCCCTTTATATGTCACTTATTTCCTTTCTTCATTCTTCTGGGCTAGTGATTATACAGTTTCTAAGTGCCTGGCCAGTGTTTATGTTCTTTTTAAGTTTTTCTTGGTCAGAGTTTATCTTATTTAATTGCTCAAAAACTGCCTGCAGTGCAGGATCCATCTCTGATCCAACTTCTGGCAACAGATGTTATGTCCACTGTGTTTTGGAGCAGTTATGTTCAGCAGCCACTTGCAATCTTGATGTCAGTCTCTTCATACTCACTACTATTTCACTGCAGGTCACTGCACTGTCTTCACTGCATTCACTAACTTTCATGTAGTATTACTAGCACTGTTTCACCATACATAATGCTGCATGCTGCTTCTAACTTCATGAACAGACTCAACTGAACTGCCTCCTCCTTGATTGTGACAAAGGTTTTATAAAACTTTTAAAACGTCCAGTTCATGCATGATAGATGAGGTGCAGTGCTTGTCTGGAAGACGTGAGAATAGGGGAGAGGTTCGGACACTAAATGAACAAGAGGTGTGTGCATGCTGGCACGTGATCATGACAACAGATTTTGGGAAGCAATCTCAGAAATCTCACCAGGGTCAAAGCAGACAGGGCATGAAGCTGACCACTCACCTCCATTTAATAATATGGTCAAGAATGGTGGAACTATACCTCCACTCCCCCAAATGTCTTCGTGGCATAGTGCTTAATTAATTATGTACAGGGACAACTTTACCTTTTTATCTGTGACATATACATTTTATCTTAACCCTTTCGCGTGGTGATTTAAATTCTGCTGCCGTGTCTCTCCGGCGGTAATATATTCAGCCGGCCATTTAAATTTTGCTCGAAAATGATTTATTCATCATTGTTCTAAAATTCTATGAGATAGGAACATGAAACTTTCACTAAAATGATCTTAAAAGGTGGTTTTATAACCTTGCTTTATAATATGAGCGCCCGGTATCTCGGCAATGGAAGCAGTTCGTTTAGAATTTGAGCAGTGTATCGTACGCCTTGAAGCATGAAACTTTCACTAAAATGATCTTAAAAGATTGTTTTATAACTTTGCCTTATAATATGAGCGCCCGGTATCTCGGTGGTGGTTCAGAATTTGAGCGGAGTGTTGCACGCATTGAAGCATTCTACTATACACAGCGCTGACTCACATTCACCACACCAGTACTGCGTATCTCTCATTTGGCTCTTTTTTCCGTAAACAAAACATCTTCTGTGCGGCCTTGCCTTCTTCCCTGTGGGGGGAATATAAGAAGAAATGTCTCTCCGTGAGTCGTATCGCTAGCCAGATTAGCTGCAGTAAATTCAACCTTTATGTTATCATAACAAGTGTTGGTGCTTCTGCGTTTCATTTTCCATCCATTTTGGCGGCATAAGACGTCGTAGGGGTGACCACAGAATTCATGAAGTTATTCTAAGAACTGGCTGGTATGTAGTGAACGAAAGCAGAGCTTAGCTGGCTCAAAAAAATATTTATGGTCATCCCTCGAAACGACCACCAAGGTCAGTACGATAAAATGGAGTCAACTGGAGCGATAATACATGAAGGAATGAGTTCTTTTCCCTCCCCCACACACACCCGTATCGTCACAGGGGGTGACCACAGTGTTCTGCCTTAATTTGTGGCGTTTTTCTAAGAACTGGCTGCCATGTACTGTGCGAAATCAATCGATCTTGCAAGAATAAAATTTGGACATCCCTCTTCTAAGAATTCCAATTGAGTGTGTTAGTGTGGCCAGCTCAGGGCAATATGATATTATAAACACAGCACATATCACGTCTCTGCTGTTTATAACTTCATAGGAAAGAAAACACGCCATTCATAACAGTTTGAATGAGGAAACCTCTACCAGAAGCAACAGGAATTTGCTGCAAGACAGGCATATGTAACGATGACTTAGCGCTCCTAAACTCGTGTCTCATTAAATATAGTTCTCCTGACAACAGGCCAGCGAAAAATCTAACAATCTACAGCAAAACCATCAATTATTATGGGCGTTATAACATAGGTGTGCAGCTGGACAAAACATTGACGTCGAACCCCCCCAGACGATTTAAATACCTTGACGAAACATACACGTCAAACCACGCTGAACGGTTAAGATGATCTATAACATAGTATACAATGATGTTACTTTTAATATTCATGAAAAGTCACACCTTCACAGAGTGCATCCTGGAACCACTGAATATAAACAACACAATATTCACACATTCAGTGATGTGTGCACATCAACATCCTCAAAGTAAAGTGTAACTTTGCCTTAAACATGGCTTTGAATTTTTAAATTACTTTTATCTAAGCTAATCTTGTGCAGAGGTTCCATTTATTTTCCCCCAGCTTATTTACTTATATGTTTATCAACCGCATGTTACTTATCACTTAATGGAAGGATGATTCTAAGCAATTACCTGGGAAGTGGTTAGGGCCCATTTTGTGGTACTATTCCAGAATTTATTTCCTATGGAGTCTACAAGCTCACCATTTTTCACTGTAATCTGAGAAGATTAGATTGTGGGCTGTGATGATTTGTCATGGAATATACTGGTTTCCTTCAAAACACAAATAACTATACCTCTTTCATTGGTTCCACTGCATAACCTAGAACAGGAATGCTTTCCAAAGCTACCACATCCTCTGAAGCCTTATACACATACAGAACTTGTTCCTTGAGAACAAACCATAACCGCTTCCATGAGCGGCGGGATCTTCGCTGTAACCATCCGCTCATCTGTGAACCAGTATCATTAGCTGTCACCTGAAAGCAAAATGATCTGCTGAAACTTCTATCTCCAGCAGTATCTCTGTCTAAGATACTTACCACTTCCACTGTGGTGTGTACATTTTTTCTGAATTTCTTTGTTCATGTTCTGATATAAATATTGGTATTTCATACCAAAATCTCATCCTCTAAACAAGACCTGAACACTAGCTTACTGAAAAAAATTTAATGAAGTCTACATATTGCTTGAAGAAACATCTTCCTCAGTAAAGTTGGTTCTGATTACCTCCTTTAGTCGTTGTGGTATATACTTTTTTACTCTCTTCCCACTAACAGGCCCAAGCCTCTTGAAAGCATCCATGATGCTAATTGTATTTCCCAGCTCATGTTTCATTGCCTGATTCACTTCTGATGTTGGGTCTCTGGCCTCTGCAAAAAAAAAAAAAAATACATAAAATATATTCTATACATTCAGGAAGACATGCACAGACAAAAACAGTTACTCCAATATGCATATTTTATGTACATATTGTAGTATGTAGACCCGTTACTAGACAATGACAGTGAAACAATGAAATAACAGACACTGCTAGGCAGCAGATTCCTAACAAGCAACAACTGAACTACCACAATAAGGAATGGCATTTTCTGTGTGGTCCATGCCAAAATGTTATAAGCAAGACAGTTTGGATGTTTCAGTTAGTCAATCTGTGAAGAGAGGACTAGGATGTTGGTGTGAGATGGCCGCCAGGTGGCAATAGCATAAGTGCAGCAGCTGAAGAATCTCCATTGTTAGAAGCCATTATCAGGAAATGACTAGTGAAAACACTGCAGGTATGTGCTCTGGTGATTTGTAAATTGTGAATTTTATGTTATAAGCAAGACAGTTTGGATGTTTCAGTTAGTCAATCTGTGAAGAGAGGACTAGGATGTTGGTGTGAGATGGCCGCCAGGTGGCAATAGCATAAGTGCAGCAGCTGAAGAATCTCCATTGTTAGAAGCCATTATCAGGAAATGACTAGTGAAAACACTGCAGGTATGTGCTCTGGTGATTTGTAAATTGTGGAGTTTAGTGATGACACTATAATTACTTGTAATTATGAGTTGTGAGTGTATAAGTGGTCAAGAAATCCAATCTCCAATCCAAACCCCATCTACAGTCACTCATCACTCACTCATGGAGCTAAGCCCTTCTTGACAAGCCATCAATTGTGCAGCTACTCAAGAACTTTGCAGCATTTTATGGAATCGGAATGTTCATGACTGTGTTCACAACAGCCCTCCATTGGTCCCTATCCTGAGCCAGATCAACCCAATCCATACCATTCCATCCTATCTCCCTAAGATCCATTTTAATATTGTCAACCAATCTACATCTTGATCTTCCTAGAGGCCTCTTTCCTTCTGGCCTCCCAACCAACATCTTATATGCATTCCTCTTCGCCCCTTTCATGTTACACGCCTTGCCCTGCCCATCTCATCCTCCTTGACTTGATCATTCTAATTGTACTAGGCAAGAAGTACAAGTTATGAAGTTCCTCATTACGCAGTTTTCTCAAAACTCCTGTCACTTGATCTCTCACTGGTCCAAATATTCTCCTCAGCACCTTCAGTCTATGTTCCTCCCTAATGTCAGAGACCAAGTTTCAAATCCATAGAGAACCAAAGGCAAAATTATTTTGTATATTCTAATTCTTACATTTTTAGAAAGCAGATGAGACAAAATGTTCTGGATGGAATGGTAGTAAGCATTACCCAAATTCAGTCTCCTCTTAATTTCCTCCTGTATCAAATTTTTATTTGTTCCCATTATTCCCAAATATTTGAACTGTGCCACATTTTCAAAGGATCTGTTAACCTTCTTTATGTCATGATTTTGCCCTGCATTCTGGTGATGAGACAGCAATATATACTTAGTTTTCTCTGCGTTTAATTCTAGACCAACCTTCTTACTAGCATCAATTAAAGTTTTGTGTATTTCTTTATGATATCTGTGTTATCTCCCAGCATGGACCAGCAGCTAATGTGTCCCATTTAATTTCAGTCCCACCTGGTTTTCCTGGACCTTCCTAATGGCATATTCAAAGCAAAGTTGAAAAGAAGCAGCAATTAAGCATCTCCTTGTTTTAGACCATTCTGGACAGGAAATTTATCAGACAAATGTTTACCTACACAGACTTTACTATAAGTTTTGTTTAAACACATTTTAATCAGACTAACCTGTCTCACGTGTACCCCAAACTCTATGAGAATATTGTACAACATTTCCCTCCTAACTGAATCATAGGCTTTCTTGAAGTCTTAACAGCTGATGTACTGTCTCATTGTACTCCCAATTTTTGTCCAGTATCTGGCAAATGCAAGAGATCTGATCAGTAGTTGATCTGTTATGTTGAAAACCACACTGATGAACCCCAATAATTTTATTTATGTATGGACTTAACCTTGAGAAAAGAATATTGGACAAAATTTTGTATGAAGTTGATAGCAGTGATATCCCACGATAATTACTACATTCAGTTTTATCACCCTTCTTGTGAACCGGTAAAATAATAGACTCATTCCACTAATCAAGCAATTTTTCCTTATGCCAAATAGACGTAACTAGCTTATGGATCTTAGAACATAACATTTCACTTCCTGCTTGAATAAGTTCTGCCAGAATTTGATCACTACCTGGCGATTTATACCTTTCAAATTTTGCAATAGCAATTTCAACCTCAAAAGGGCTAGGATCAGATACTAATGGATCAGCTGTATGTATTTCTATCTGCCTGACATCACTGACCCTACATATATTCAAAAACTGAGAGATATAGTTCTCCCACCTATTCAAAATGTTGTGAGTATCTCTGAGCAATCACCATTCTCATCCCTCACTAAGTTACTTCTATGTTGGTGACCCATCTTAAAGTCATTTATTCCTCTATATAGATCTCTAATGTTCTTGTTCTTACTGTTCGTTGCAAGCTCATCAGTTGTGTCACTCATACATGGGACAACTGGTGTCAGAAGTTATTGGACTGGAGACTGCAGTAGGATAGTTGTACTGTCAGCCTATAAAAATGGAACAAATGATGAAATGCCTGCTGGCAAAGGTGCAGGTCAAATAAGACTCCTCTGTAGGGAAGATAATGGCTATAATGAAGGCCAGCCTGGAAGAAATGAAGTCCACAGAAGAGCATCAGGAGGTCTTTAAAGAAGAGACTGCAGTGGAAACTACTGGAGCACTTAAGGTCCAATATGGGGACGGGAATCTAAATGCATGGCACTGACAGTTAAAGAAATGGATGCAGGGAGATGGTGGGTGCTGGCAGAAGTTGGCTGCCACCCAGAGACAGATGACCCACCATGCCGTTCCTGTACGGTGCAAGGGATATGGTCATGAAGGGCCCAAAATGCAACAACAGCATAAAGAACTGAAGCACAAGATGGCAGCTATGTCTGAGGAAGGACAGCACAACTGGCAACAGCATCAGAGGATGAAGCAGTTGATGAGAGCCACCTCCCATGCATGAAAGTCCAAAATTTGTATTCCATGCAATTTGTTGTACGAAGGTTTCACTATACTCACATACCTTTCAGAAGTGTATTGTGACATTCTTCACAGACACGGGCCGACTGGAATCTCATATACTGGAGAGGTGCTCTGAAGTCAGAGCAGTCACCACACACAACCTGACACAATTCAAGACAAGGCTGATAAATTCAGACGTGAAGGGAATAAGGAAATCACCAGTAGTACATAAGCCTTTATGTCACACACCTTAAAAAAGTACAAGGCTTCATGATGGGACACTACAGCACATACGTCCCTGTTATCAGGTCAACGAACAATAACTTTTACTGCAAGGGTATGTTGCAATGTGTAGCTAATATTACTATAACATTTTAAATTTTACAACCAAGTTCAATTCCCTGTACCATTCCTTACATGATTATGTGATACTGCATTTTCTTGCATAATTTACATATGAGGGTTGGAACTTTAATAGTGGCAACTATTTATTTACAACTGATACAAAATAGATGCATGTTTCAAAGTTTTACTGTCCTTCAATGTAGTCACCAGCATTGTGTACAACCCACTGTCAGCGATGTGGAAGTCATAGGATACCTTTAGCAGTGCCTGTTGTGTTGAGTTCGAATGAAGTGGTCTACTGCCTGAAGAATCTCTGGAACAGTTCTGAAGCGAATGCCACGAAGTGGTTCCTTCATCTTAGAAATCAAGTCGAAGTCACAAGGGCTTAAGTCTGGGGATTATGGTGGATGGTACAGCACTTCCCAGCCCCACTGATCGAACAAATCAGCCACAGCTTGCGCTGCATGTGGCCAAGCATTGTCCTGCAAAATGATGGGTGGGTTCTGCAGAAAGTGTCGCCGCTTCTTTCTCAAAGCTGGTCACAGGTTGTGTTCCAAAAATGAACAGTAATACTACGCACTGACAGTCTGCTGTCGGGGAACGGTATGCGTTAGGATAACACCATCACAGTCATACACGAGAATCACCATAACTTTCACTGTTGGGGTTCTGACGAACTTTTGATTTTCGTGGTGACCCATAATGACGCCATTTGTTCGATTGGCATTTCATTTGTGACTCGTACGATTTGGCCCATCTCTCATCCAGAGTAATGATATGGCGTAACAAATCCTCTCCTTCATGCTCATAGCGCTCCAACTGGTTACGAGCTGCGTTGTATTGTAGCCATTTCTGCATTTCCGTCAAATCATGCGGAACCCATCGTGATGCAATTTTTCTCATTCCCAGGCATTCCTTCAGAATGTGAAGCACAGTCATATGTGCTAATCCTGTCTCTCGGGCTAGCTCATGAATTGTATGGCGTCGATCACTCTCCAGTAATGTGGAAAGAGCATACCCTTCTTCTTCACTGACACTTGGATGACCTGGCCGACTCATGCCTGCCATATTTTGGCATCCCTCGTTGAAAGCTTTTACCCACCTTGCCACTGTTCTGTAAGGCAATGCAGATTTCCCGCAAGCCTCTTGAAGACCTTGATGACACTGTCATGCTGTACAGCCTCTGGCACATTCAATCTTTAGCCAACTCCATTGTTCCTGTTTCGAAAACATCGTAACACTACATTAGACCACCAGCTGACACAAGGCTCTGTTCTTCTTGTCACTATGCATGCACGTGATGTGGGAAGGGAGAGTCCATTTGCTCTGAGGTAAGGTAGGTATGTAACTAACGCGTGGTATAAGCAACATTATTTGGTTCCATTGCATGGTATCTCTACAGCAGTGTTGCCACTATTAAAGTTCCAACCCTTGTATTTTCTTTACATGTGCACATAAACAAGCACCCCCCCTCTCTCTGACAAACAAAAAATGTACAAATACTTTAAAAATGTAAAAGTAAAGAGCCCAAACCTTTCCACAAGCCCGACAATGATGTCGCCGAAAAGTGACAGTGAATTCGGCAGTACAAGACTGACACATAGTGACCCGACGATCCTGAATCCATACAGGAGCCTGGGAAAAAGAATGCAATATTTATTCTTCTGGCTTACAGTCCAAGGTGGTCTGCAAAGGACTTGTTCCTTCTGTTTCTCCTCACTTTCTCCTCCACAATATCTCTTCCTTCTAGTTATATTTATCTTCATTTTTTATCGTCTTGTTACCCATCTTCATTTCTCCTATTCTTCATTTTCAACACCCCCCTCAGTATCCACCCTTACAAAATAGTCCTTTTAAGGGCCATTCCTCCTACACTGATGAATGAATGAGTAACTCATTTCATTCATTTGTACATTAATTTGTGGTTTATTTAAAGACAATGTGGGCACTAGCAAAGTGAAATAGCCAAAGCTTCATGGTCAGTTCAAATGTGGAATATTTGGCCAAAATTTATTCTAAGTACAATCCTGGCATTTGTTGGAAAACCATGAACACTTTGGAATTTACCTCTTGTCCAAGTTTGAATGGCTCTGAAGAACATTCATTCTTAGCTGATGAAGTAACCTTCATGTTTTGGAAGGACAGCTGACGAGAATTGTAGTCTGTTATGGCTTTTTGAAGCGCATCTACCCACTCCTGTCGCTCATTCAGAGAGCTGCAAACCAAAACAAATTAAAAACTTCAGAATTTATGAGAAAATTAAATGATAATGAATTAGTGTGAAAAAGTGGTTCTGACGATAGTACAGAACACCTGGGAAATGTTCAACATTCTAAACAGCACAATGTTTCGGAAACAAACCTGTGTCCATCCTACTCTGTGGGGTCTGCTAGAAAGAGTCAGGTCTAGTGACTGAGGTCTGTGAAAACCTGAGTAGACAACAGTCACTGTTTCCCCTGTGTACAGTATAAATTTTAACTTTCCATTTGAATCCCCAGCTGAGTTACTATTGATTACAGTGGTGCACATCTGGTCACCTTGCAAATTATAACAAAACTCACAAGCATGCCTTCAGTTTCCACTCTTTTCATATCATACATGTAAATATGCCAACCTTTTATTCGGTGAATATCTAATTCTTAATTTTTCCTAGAACAGTTCGGTTATGCTTGTTTGTGACCTTTCATGGAGGATGTACTTATGTCCCATCCCTGTTGCTGGTGGTTCTGTTACTTTCAATATGGTTCCCATTTCAACCAAACAAAAGCCATAAATCTGTAGGCAATGGGGCAACAGACCTTTAGGATATATGTCTTTGACAAAACAATCACTACTGCCATCACAACACCGATCCACCACATTATCCACCATACATGCACGCAACATACTTGTATAGGCTGATGTCACTGTATGCAATATAATTAGGTCCTTATTACTGCCTTAAGACACATGCATCAATGATTATACTTGAACCAGAAACTTGGAAAACTCACTGCACTGTGACATAATGGTAGATAGCAGTGGTTTTCCTTGGTGACAGGAATTTTCAAACAATTACAGAACTGTTCCTTTAGCTCTATTTCAGTTTCTGTGATACCTACCTAACTCATGTAAAAATACTTTACTCCATGAATGTTTCATTGTGTAAATTCACATGGATTTTTGGGTGTCAGTATTTGCTTATCATAAGGAAACTAAAGACTCTCTCTGGCTACTTGCCATTTTGTTATGCCATTTAAAGCATCATAAGGACCTTTGCCATGTCTGGTGGAGAAGAAATGCCACTCTGCAGCAATTAAAAAAATCCTTCCTGTGAGTTACTAAACTAGTGGTTTCTTTATTCTTATAATGTGGTGCAGCTCCAACACTGAAGTATGAAATATTTTATTTATTGCTATCCAGTGTCCTGATATAGGAAATCACAACATTCTTAAAAGCATAAACTATACTTGTTACATGTGCCATGAAGCCATTAACAATACACAAGGGCATAGGCTTTTTCGCTTAGTGGGGGGTGGAGTCCAACTGACTCGGCATGGCGGCCACTGATTGGCCTATTGTACCTGCCCTGGGTGACTATGATGATGGAGAATTTGGTGGAATGAAGACTGGCAGGGGAAACCGAAGTACTCGGAGAAAACCTGCCCCAGCGCCACTTTGTCCACCACCAATCCCACTTGACCATACCTGGGATCAAACCTGGGCCACAGCAATGGGAAGCCAGTGACTAACCGCTTGAGCTATGCCGCGGCCCTAAGGGCATAGGTTTTGGTTCAGATGTGGATCTGAGTTAATAAAAAAATATATATCTATATATATTAAAATTCGCTGCATCTGGAACCATGAAAGGATAATTTTCTGGAATCTACTAATACAACACATTCATGTTTCCATATTAATTTTTTTAAATTGTCCTTGCTCTGGGTTAAATTTGAGGTTAGCGTGAGGCTACACAACTGAGAACGAAAGGTGGTCCAAATCACATCTGTCAAATCAGTAAGTTCTTCACAGGGGATAACAGCATTCATTATTGTTGAATGTTACATTGTTACCCACTGTCTGCATGTGATTTCATCGTAAAATTCAAAATTGTCGATTGCAGAGAGTAAATTGTGTACTGTATCAGACCCAGGGCAGTTTGCACACCATGTTAAAATACATGCTTAACTTTCTGTTGGACATACACTTTTTCATTTGGAGGAGGGGCACTGAAATCAGCTGCAAGGTGTGTTCCATGTACTGGGTGCATCATGTTCTCATGCATCATACCAACTATTATGGCACCACTGCCACCACTTTCAGCAAAGTGGGGTGAAATCAGGTCTCCCTGGTGTCACCACTCTGTGCAACCAGCAGGCGTGATCCCACTGCTGCCACTTTTTTTTTTTACGTTGAACCCACTTGTCTGGTGTGTCCCATGCACCATGAATGTTCAGTTCTGATGAATCATACAGACACATACTGTATGTATACGTGTATACCTGCAAGGATGAAGTATTTTGGATGGAATTCTGCAAATCTGGAAAATCTAACTGAAACAGGTGGGTATTTCTCACAAAATTCTGCACGAAATTCTGGAAGATTGCATATGTTCTCAGTATATGGTTTCTTTCAGATGCTATTTCACATACATGAAGTTCTTCCTGCCAGAATACGTGTGACTGTGCTCACCATTCTCATAAAACTACATGACTGTTTGTATAATAGCATCAGATAAAAGCCAATCAATCAGTTTGCCTTGGCACCAAGACCCTTGAGAATCATGACCGGCAGTTATTTTTTTCAACTAAACACTCGCGGTCATAATCCTTATGTAACATCCTCTCTGACAAGAGGATGGATCTGTCATTTACAATTGCAGTCATTCTTAGGTTTGAGTCCTGTGGCACTCATGACATTTTACTGTCTCAACACTTTCAAGAATTCCTCCATTGTTGAATGACATGTTAAACTGGCTGGTGCACAGCAATGGCTCAGGTATTGCTGATGCAGAAGTGTGCTTTAGTTGTTGTGGAAACATGTTTATTGGCCATTGCCTAGCGAAGACCTCTTCTATTCATTAGACTCTTCCAGCTTTCAGCCATCATGTTCCACTGTTTCCTCCTTAAGATTATAATTCCATTTATTAATCTCTGAGGGGACGTGCCTGCGGCATCTGTGATCTCTCTCACGAATGACACTTCAGCATCATGCTGGCACTGATGCTTCTGCTTCAGGTTTATGGGGAAATAACTTTCGTAAAGTGACCAGTGCTCCTACAGTGCTAGTATGCTGCAAGCTGTTGGTAGTTTCTTATTCCATTTTAGAGGGGGCTGGCTCCTCCATAATGTCCTGTCACTCAATTTCCGGAGCCTGACTGCTAGCCTTATGAACTCTGGCTCAAAGGTCTGCATGAGGGCCTTGATGAGTGTCTTCTTGTTTCCCAGAAGTAGCTTCTGTTTTTGGCTTCATTCTCTTATGCCATCAACAAAAGCCCTTCCTGCTCCCCTAAGACCATGGTCCTCATATAGTGTAGGAAAGGCATGGTGGGTCAACTGTTCGATGGTGGCTGCAAACTCCTGCAGGGGCTCATAAATGATTTGGGTCCTTGTTTTCAGCAGAGTTTGGTATGCTGCAACCAGGTTCTGCTCCCCAATTTGGTCCTCAAGTACCCTGATAGTCTCCTTGCACATCACTCCTTTAGGAACTTGATGTAGAATATTGGAAGCTTGGCCTTCCAAGGCAGTATAAAGGTGCATGGCTTTTATGTGTGATACCCATTTACAGTGCTGTGATACAATCTCTCTTTTCTTGCTTGGCCTCCATCTTTTCTTGGCTGCCTGCCACTGTGGCCTTTATTTCTTCTTGGCTGGTCTTCACTGTGGCTTCCATATTTTCCTGGTTGGCATTTACTGTGACTTTCATCTCCTCCTGGCCAGCTTCATCCTGGCTTGTCCTTAACCCTGGAGAACTCATTACTTTCTAACGGGTATCTGGATTCAGTACATTGTGAAAATGGATTGATTAGGGGCAATGGTTACTTGGCAGTGAATGTGTGGCAGAAACTTTAATTTGACCGATATTCTCAGGCATTCCTAAAATATTTTGCAACACATGCACAAATTACAATATGTAACTATAATTTTTTGGTCTTATGCTTATCAAGTTACTCACAAATTGTAATCTGAGCATACCGTGCAGAAAGAGTAAAGCTCCGTTTGACACTGATGATGCTGAACTCATTGCGATAGTCTTCTGCCTGAGGAATGCTGACTTTCATGCTGCTCAGTGGTAATTCGTAGTTCACCTTTAGCCCAGAAGACTGCACTGATCCATAATAAGATGTGTACAGCAAGCAGTCATTTAGCTGGAGGAGAAAACAAGACTCTACAACACTCACTGTACTTCCCTACTCTGACTTCAGTCAATTTCTATGCCAGAATTGAAGCTCCCTATGAGTATTAAAAATGTGACAGTGCAATCAGGCCTATAAATCCTAAATCAAGATTAAACCAGGCCTCTGTAATGAGGAGTGGATGTTAGATCTGTGAAGTATAAGGTAATCTGTCTGTGAAAAGATATTTATACTACATTTTTTCAGTATAAATACTACAAAACAGAATCTACCAGTGCTTTCAAATGTCTTCCCAAACACTGAGTATAATTAACTATATTGTGAAGATGCTGCCTGGGGCAGATATTGACTCTGACCACAACTTACTGGTTGCAAAGTTCCGAACCAGGTTGAAGAAAACTATAAGATTTCAAAAGCGCAGACCTAGATGGGATTTGGAGAAGTTATATATGCTCAAAGACAAAGCATGCAAGAGACCCTAGAAGAGAAACTCGGTGCAACTGAAGGCAAAAGCGGAAATGCTGAAGCGCAGTGGAACAATATAAAAGAATGCATGTTAGATACTATCAGTGATTTGGTTGGTAAAGTTGAGAAGATAGCAAGAAAACCATGGGTTACACAGGAGATGATAAGTAAAATGGAGGAGCGAAGGAAATGGAAGAATGTCAACAATGAAGAAGGCAGGAGCAAATACAGGAGACTGAGGACTGAATTGAAAAGAGCCACGGACAGGGCCAAAAAGGGTTATCTTGAGAAGATATGTAATGAGATTATAGAATTTCAGAGAACAGGACGTTATAATCTGATGTACATGAAGACAAAAGAACTAGGATGGAAAGAGAATCAAGGGATTCAAAATATTGGCATCGAAGACTCCCAGGGGATCAGAATAGTAGATCAGAGGCAAGTGCTGAAAATTTGGGAAAATTATATTACAGAACTATATGATCGACCTAATCGGCCAGAAACCTTAGAAGTTGAACTGGAAGAAGAAGTAGACACAGACAAGAAAGGGCCATATATTTTACAAAGTGAGGTGGAAAAAGCTATGAAGGAAATGAGGAATGGAAAGGCTACAGGAGATGATGTACCTGGAGATGTGCTCAAGTTACTGGGCGAAGGTGGTTTTG